GTGGGCGACAAGCGACAGTAGCGAACTCACGGAACCCTTGGCGCTTAGTTTTACTCGTTCTTGCGTGGTGATCAACGCACGAAGGAGCTGTAAGAATTCTGTTTGCAGCAGAGCCACTTGCTGCACAGTCCCCCGGATAGAGAGCTTTGCCAATATCTGCAAAGGCACTCTCCCTCCAACTTGCGGTTAAAAATCATTGAGAATGTACCTCAGCAATGGGAGAACAAATGTTTATTGGATGGGCAGAGAGCGATGAAGTTACTGGGGCCAGGTGGGTCAGATTTCGGAATGCGACGGTTGTTTGTTTAGCAACTTGTCTTACCTTCGACGCATTCAATGCTCAAGAGGTCGAGAGAGAAGGTGCGCGTGTCAATTCGGTTCATCGAAGTAAACTCTTGCAACGAGCTGAAAGCGGAAAGCCATCGCGTGATATCAAGTGAAACGAGCACCAGCTTTGTAGCCACTTTTGATGCAGTCGCAAACCACTCTGCGGGAAAGACACATCATGAGCCATGTCATAGAGCCATTTTGCTGTAAAGTGCCACCTATGAAACCTCTCAAGAATGCAGCATCGCCTTCGATTCCGGTTTCTTTTCGGTCGCCATCCGACGGCACGCTTGTAGTAATCAGCTGAGGCAGTACGCTGCGGAGGGTTTCAAGGGTGAAAGAGTCTTCAAACGATATCCAGACCTTGAAGCCCGTTTCAACTGAAAGTGCGCATGCATGAAGCAGCTCAAAAAGAGGGAGCCGCAAACCATTAAACGCACAAAGAGTCGAAACTGAAACTAGAGGACAGCGCGTTGATCCAAATACTGCAAAGTCCTGAGCACATCCCTTTCTTCAAATATCCTTTTCGGTATCAAAAACAGCTCATTACCTCGAGGGCTGCGCACCAGTATTGCAACAATTTTGTATTCAAGTGCCCATCTTCTTCNCATAAGCGGCTACCTCGTTTCCGGTCCAAAAAGCTGTCCGTACACTTCAGATCGGCGGGAAGCTCAAGCGTCAACAGAAGAGCCAGAGGATTGCTAGACGTCGCACGAAACAATCTTATGCATGCTTTGGCCTATAGCCTGGATAAGAAGAATCTGAGACGCTACCAGCTGAAATTTACGGGAATGTACAGATATGCGAAAAGAATGCGTTTCCGCTGCTGACAACTCCGCCTTAACTGTTTACCGCTTAATTTTCTGAATGCATCCTGTAGGGCGTGCTAGGCCCGATGAGCACTGGCCTTCGAGACATATGACCGAAGGTTTGAGGACTGAAATGCTAGTGAAACTGGCATAGCAATTCAGCAGATGTGACAGAGTCAACGTTAAGCATGGCAGAAACATAGTGTAGAAGTTTCTGGCTCGAACCCGCTCCTGGATGCCTTAGGCAGTATCCTCGTCAGAGGAACACTAGAGCGCATTTTGACATTGCCGTGCCTATAAAGAATGCGCAGTGTCATATGGAGATTGAGATCGGCAACCTAGGCAGTGCAGCTTGCCAACAAGGCTTTTGTTCGTGGAAACTGCTTAGGCAATGCGGAGACAGCGTTTCACGAACGCGCAAGCGCCTCTANAAGGCTTTTGTTCGTGGAAACTGCTTAGGCAATGCGGAGACAGCGTTTCACGAACGCGCAAGCGCCTCTACTTGACACGACTGGGAAGAGGCGCCCAGGGAAGAAAAAAACGTTGCACTTCGCACACTCGAATCTTTATTATTTCGCTCTCGTGGATCTCTATGGACTTCGAAATCTAGATCCGCGCTGAACGCTATCGATTAAGGCAAAACGTTGGATGCTGGGGTTGCCCAAGTCACGATGGAGAGACCATCGCCCACAGGCAGCAGCACCTGCACGCACAGAGGGGAGCTATCTGCATTCCATCCCTACACACTCATGCAGAAGGCAGGCGTCGCACAAAGCCCAGCAGCCTTCGGGTAACTAAAGCTATTTATTGGCAAGTTGCAACAGATGCTCATCCACACGCAGGCATACAGTGGCATGAGAAGAGTTTATGTACGCTACCAAACAGCTGGCTCCAACGACTTGACAAGCGCTCCTTACGTGAGATATTCGCGGATCGTTGCGTAAAGCCTCGCGTAGGGCTTTCATGGACTCCGCAATGCTGGAGTATCTTCTGGTACGAGGTGCATCCTCTGCGGCTTCGTCTTCCCACGAGGGCCTCTTTCCATCATGTCCCCTCCCCCACAGAGTATTATCTATTAAAAGAGCCCCCTTAGGCGCAAGCAGGGGTCTGTCGGGGTCTAAAATACACGCGATATATTCGGCATACTTCTTCTTTTCAGCGTCCAGATATATCAAGTCAAATCCTCCATCTGGGAGCATGCCGCCCTGCAGAGCAACATTACCCAGTCGGGTCCCTTCTGATGCCGCTTGCCCAGACGAGATGCTCCTTGCCGCTGTGCGCTGTGACCGCAGCCACTGCAAAGCATCCGCCTCCACCACCCTGATTAAGGGACTCCACGGAGATGAGCTGATAAGGCGGNCAGCCACTGCAAAGCATCCGCCTCCACCACCCTGATTAAGGGACTCCACGGAGATGAGCTGATAAGGCGGCGAGCGGCTGCTGCTGCTCGTGGGTCCTTCTCAATAGCAACAAGTCCGACGCACGCACCGGGTACACGTCCGCCGCATGCCAGGCCCTCAGCTAGGGCGAGTGCTGCAAGGATGCGGCAGGCAAACAATGCAGTGGTAGTGTATATAACATGATCACCAGCAGTGTGTTCAAGAAGTACAAATTTGGGTACAGGGAGATAAGTGCGCGCGCTCGTCTAAGCAGCAAAATTACGTGCGTAGCTACGCCTAGGCTAGAGGGACACAGGCAGCACGAGCCCCACTGGAGATGCCGACGAATGCTCCAATCTCAAGGATTGAGCTTGGCCTCTTTAGTCTGCTGATGGCGGAGAGAATGCGGGCGTGCAGGTGCCCCGACCAGAACTGGGGAACCCCCTTCGCCGCCCCAACAAGACTCTTCGCTGTGCTTCGTCCTTCTTCTAAAAGGGCCTCTTGCAGTGCCGACGGGGAGGAAGCAGCAGTCGCCACCTGGTGTGCCCAGTTCCACAAGTCCTGGGCGGAAGTCTCATCACTAACAGCGCGGCCTTCCTGCTGAAAGGCCTTTTCTGTCGCCGAATTTTTCACAGTAGAGGAGGTTTCTGCATACACATGAACGCCTCCACAATGTAAAGCACACAGCCTCGCTAGACCTTCNCAGTAGAGGAGGTTTCTGCATACACATGAACGCCTCCACAATGTAAAGCACACAGCCTCGCTAGACCTTCTCCACGTCTGTGAAAAAATTGAACAGGATACAGTGGAGACGTCAATTTATTATGCTTATCAAAGGTCAAGTCCAAGGAGCGTGGGCAAATTACCAACTGGTGATTCGAACGCAGCAGCGTTGTGTTTGAGAGCAGCCAGAAGCTGCTGAGCCCTCATAGCCCACATTTTCCTCTGCTCTAACAGCCTCTTGTGTGTATGTTGGGCCTGCATGCGCCTCTGGATCCGTGCATGTGTGTCTCTTTGACTGTCCTCCGCCCCTTGTTGCGCACAAGCAGAAGAACAATAAACCCCGAGAGAGGCACAGCAAGAAGAGCAGAGCACGAAGCGTCTCCCGCATTGCCTGTTGCTGCAATTCGCCAGGCGCCCTGAGGGGCCTCCACAATGGCTGCACTGTGCTAGCAAATCCGACGTAATCGGCTGGCACATTCTGTGGTCGAAGACATAGTTGCTCCCCAGAAACAAGCTCTTGGGGGTATTCTCTCCCTGGATTTCTTCTGCTTCGTTATCAGCTCCATCTGCAGCTGTCTGTGCCTGTCCATTTGTGAGGGCGGTGTCGCATATGCCTGCTTCATCTTTTCTTGAACCAAATACGCCAGCAGATAGCGTCTTCTCCTCTNGGCGGTGTCGCATATGCCTGCTTCATCTTTTCTTGAACCAAATACGCCAGCAGATAGCGTCTTCTCCTCTGGAGCAAAGGAAGTGCATCCTGCGTCTTTACAGCATGCTCCTCGAAGCTTCAGAATGTAGTTTTTGTATGCGAGGATCCCTCCCTTGAGGCGGGTTACCCGCGGGAAGCCAAGGACTTGCTTGAGGAACGCCCCAGCCTTGACACAGCGGATACCGCCAGTGCAGTACATCATGACCTCTACATCCTCCCCGCTACCACTGCCGCTGGATACATGCGGCGTGGCGTTCCGGGAGGGCAGCTGAACCCCCGCCTGTAGAAGGGCCTCCTCCAGCGGGCCCCCTGGGGCAAAGGAATCCGCAAAAGTTGGGGTGTTTATACACCTGGCACCCTTAAAGTGTCCCACAGCGTACTCATTCGCGTTCCTCATATCCAAGAGTACAATCTTCCTTGCATGCTGTTGTTGCCCATGCTGCTGTTGTAGCATGTCCATGAGCTTGCGATGCCATACACTGGGATCCACCTCCTCTCCGCAATCTACCCAGTCCAAGGGGGCTGCGAAGCCGTCCCTCAACACCTGGTGCCGTGGCCGGATATGAAGTGCATCAAAAGGTGGGGATCTCCAGTACTCTTCAAAGGCAACAAGGCAATCGGGGGTCACCTGCACACCGTCTTCCAACCCGGGAATCTGTTGCAACTCCCCAAGGATATCAGACATCGCAACAGACGGTACAGCTAGCTGGGCATTGAGTCCCTCCTTTGCTACGTATGCCCTGCCCAACACACCTTTTGGGCCCCACAGGGCTCTCAGCAGCTCAGCAAGCGCCTTCGGTGATCTTACGGAGAAGAATTTATATAGGGACACCAGCTGGTACGGTGGGGGGACAGCCGAGGTACTGCGTTCGGTGAGATTGTGGGTCTCCGCAGCACCTAAGGGCGGAGGAATTGGGAAGTCATGCAGGGAAGCATCCCCTGTGGAAAAAGGAACGGAAGGCAGTGAGGGTTCCAGCTGAAGCTGTAGCGACAGCCGAGGTCCCCTGGGGAGGCGCAGGATGCGAAGAGCAGTGCTTCCCTTGAAGCCATTCTCCCTTTTGGTGCTGCCGCTAGCCATGCTGCTGGGGGGAATGCAGGTGGAGCAGTGAGGCAGACGGCGGTACTGGGCAAGGAGAGGCCCGTAATGCTCCCGAAGAACTCTCAGTGCTTCTTCCTCTGATGCCAACGGCAGCAGCTCGGGAATAGGTCCCTCCTCTGACTGTAGGCCATCGTGCGAGGCGACCTGTTTAGCACCGTGGCTAGGCATTGGGCTTTCTGACTGCAGTGTAGTCCGGCTCTTCGTCTCCGGCGCAGAGACCTGGGCCACCAGTTGCAGGGGAACTCCCCCACAGAAGTCCTCCCCCAACTTAAGAACCTTACAAACGGCACCTTTAAGANCAGTTGCAGGGGAACTCCCCCACAGAAGTCCTCCCCCAACTTAAGAACCTTACAAACGGCACCTTTAAGAGATTCCAACAGGGGCGGTGAAGACGAGCCGTCTACTGCAGCTCGCGATGGTGAAGGGGGTTCCTGAGCTTGCAAGGGCCTCCCCGTACTCACCATACCTTGACCTTCCCAGAAGCCACCTGCTTGGGTGGCCGCCTCCGGAAGGGCGTCTCCTCCTGTAAGATCCTGAAAAGGCCCGAGAAGCCATAGAGGCAGAAAAATGTGGCGCTTGTGGGAGCCTCGCAAAAGCCCCAGAGCTCGCCTCGTCTCTGGAGCTATTCCCACTTCGACGGGAACGATATCAACGACAGTTTGTGCTGCAGCAGTTCGTGGGTCTACCGCTGAGGCTGCAGCAGCTGCACCTCCTCCCAACTTCGATGACAACCTCTGATGAACATATTCGTTTTTGAACGCGTATTCTCCAAGGCCCCATTCCCCGCCAACAACAACTGGCGAAGCATCCTCGCTAGTCCGCAGCCAAACACATCTAGGGCACTCCGAGTCTGAGGGTCCGCCGCTTGTACTGTTGCTGCTGCTGGTATCGCTACATCTGCTGCTGCTGCTACTGTTTGCTCGTAGTTGTCTATTGGGGCGCTCGTGGGCATTAGTTCGTGGTATAAGAAGCGAAGCCCGTGAATGCCTTATATAGCCCCATGCACGGGTGGGCTCATCATAAAGCAGCAACAACACCAATAGTAGAAGACCCAAGGGGGGCCTAGGCATTGGCTGCAGCAAAATGAAAATTCAGCGCGTAGCCGAACTTGATGCTGCACGAGTTCCCCGCCGCAATGCAGGCGCCATAACTGCAATTGCCGCTTCTGTTTTTACTGCTTTTGTTGCTAGTTTTCCCATGTGTTATGCCGATGCTGCTGCTGCTGCTGCTGTCCTTGGGCTAACAACCGCCATGCGCATTGATAGTCTGTCGTTCGTCCTCCTCGTGTTGTGCCCCGGTGAGACGAGTCTTTGCTTGTGAAGCGGCTCCATGCGTTAAAAAAAGTAACACGACAAACTCTCATTCCCGATCAAAACAGGAGTAGGCAGATTCCCTTCTGTGGCTATGGCGGATCCCGTTATTTGGATAACATTAGCCTGTACTCCAGTCAGGGGCCCCCGGGGCCCCTGCTCGAATTCTTGTAGATCCCTGCCTGTCTTACGAGCTGGAGAATCATTGACAATTGTCTTGTTGGAAAATAGAATGCAACATCTCTCTTAGTCGGGATTCTGCATGGTTTTACTTGCAATTCGATGTTGCATGGTTGTCGTTGCGGTCCTTGCGGGTCACTCCGAACCTCATACAGACCCGCTAGAAACTGCCCCTAGAAACTGCATCAAGCGCAAGAACTTCGCTTCCCCATTAATTACGTAGTGCATACCTAGCATAAGGCTTTAGGCATCCCGCTTCCTCATGAATATCGGAGCGGTAGCGGGAACCAGGAATTCAACCGTGGACTGCTCCTGCAGACGGCTGGGAGGCCGCGAGGGGCAGGAGTAAACTGAGCCAGTCCATGCAACCGAGAAGAAGCAACGGGCATACAAATGGCAACAGCAGTAACTCCGTTG